AATTCAATCAAATATCTCATATCAATTGTTCAAAAATCAAAAAATTTAAAGTATAAAATATCATACACAAAGACGGGCCTTCTTTCCTCTTGAATTACCTCGTGATAACTCTAAAAATTATATTTTAGTAGTCTTAATTAATATTATTGACTTTAAATCAAAAATTTCACTCCATATTTGATATATAATTTTTTAATTTTCTTAATTTCGAAATATGATCTTAATCAAAATAAAGAAATAACTTATCTATTCTATGTTCTCAACGTAAATGAAGATTGTGATCTAAATTAAGATTTATGTCAAATTGAAGCTAGCATTCTTCTTTCCCCTTGAACGTAGCTTTTGATGACAAGAGAAATCATATCTTCTTGACCATTATTAATATTCTCGTCTTAGATTGAAAATCTCATTATCTAGGCGATTTATTATTATTATTATTATCTAGGTCGAATCTCATAGACAATCAATTTTACGCGAAAACATTTTGAAGTTCAATGACTTTTCGGAAGCATTATAAAATTCAATGAGTAAAGTTTGACGAATGTATTAATTCAATGATTAATGAAATATAGCGAGTGAGGGATGGAGTGCAACGTGTTAAAGTTTAGTCACCACTTGAAAATATTTTAAAATTTAGTGAGTAAAACATTATGAAATTATAAGTTCAATGACTAATGAAATATTTAACTCCAACTCATTGTACTTTATTATTATTGGTAGAAATTTTTTCATAATATATAAATTTTTAGAAGGGAAATTTCGGAGAGCATGATCAAAAAATTAAAAAATATATAAATATGAGTCAACATTTAGAATTATTTTATTGCGAGAATATATAATTAAAAATAAAGAGCTACATGTATCTCACTATAATATAAAAGAGACTAACATAAGCACTATTCATATTAGACATGTGTCAGCACTTTTTTGTCATCAACCTCTTTCTTTCTTTTTTCTTCTATTCCCTTCTTGACCTTATTCATACTTCACTATTAATTTTCATTTGGCAAGAGAAAGGATAGTATGGCCTTTTTACTCATATCCACAATCTTCTTATTGTTGACTCGTCTCTTTTTACGTCCTCATTTTTTTTTATAAAAGTGTATGAATTTGTCTATTAGATTAATTAAATTCATCAGCAACTTCAAATTTGTTATCTTTACGACTTTAAGCCATTTTCCTTAAAAAATATCACTAATAGATAGTTTACGCTAAAAAAATTTGGTAAAATGAAGTTGAGAAATAATTTTTGGAGTTCATTGACTCAAAAAATTATAACTCAATGTTTTTCTTTTAATATTCTTTGAGTACAAAATTTGCATTATATTAATAATTTTGCATCAGTGCATTCATATGAATGGACATATATAAATCGTGCACGTATAAGGTAATAGAATTTATTACTAAATTATGAGTATTTTATAGCCAATGCTAGAAATTTTACCTTCTACATATTCTAATTTTTATAAAAAATAAACAATAGCAAGTACAATCTTGATCGATAGAGGAACAATATCACATTTTACTTCAATAAGATCCCAAAGTAGATATCATATTATACATTTGACAAACGCCAACAATGAAAAGAAGTACAATTGTTTATTTTATTTTATTTTTTATTCAATATTATGTGGCCATGTTTGGTACATATTACTTAAAATTCATGTTTTTTGAAGTCTATTTTCAATCAGACATTCTATTATTAAAACAATTTAGTGTGTGGATCGATCGATAATTTTTCTTACTTTTTAATTATGTAACTATTATATATGGAGTTCCATCTTAAAATGTCAACATTATCAAGAGGAGTAATTTAAACCCTTATAAGTTGGTCTATATTTTCATTTTTTTCGATATGTGATTGATTCCTTAACATCCTTTACAAGATGGTGGCTCTTTTAAACAAATCAATTTTGAAATTTGCGTGCTCATCTCTTAGTCTTAATAGGATCGAATTGTTCGTTAAAATTAAATGAACTTTGATGTTATATTAAGATTTAGGGTTCTATCTTAAAATATCAACACATTGAGAGGAGTATTCAAAACTCTTATGAATTGATTTATGTTTTCACCTTCACTAAATGTGGGATTTATCCCTTAACAGTAACAAACTCCTTTCAACTTTCACAATTTTTAATAAGATTCTTATAATTAATTTTGAGGAAATTTATTCAAATTTATGAAATTCATTTAAATTTATAATATTTTAAAATTAATTAAAATCTTAGTCGAAACACTTCCATGAATTTACTCATGATTTTTTTTTTTTCAAATTTATCTCCATAATCAAAACTATTTCTTATTCAACATAACCAAAGTCTAATATTAATTAAGCATATTACAAATTTTAGTTGAAAACTCAATATTGTTAACACATAATCTATATTTTACTCTAAATTTAACGAACATGATAGAAAGTCATTCAATTGGGCAAACTCAAATCTATCTACCGTCATACTTCGATGGTGATACTATAGCCGCCTCCATTACATTAAATTCTATTACATTTCTTTTTTCTCTCATATTTTCAACCACACAATCGTTTATAAAATAATATTACACGTAAATCGAAAATTTTTTACTTCTTTTTCAACCACTTCTTTTTCAAAAAGAACACTATTCCACCCATTTTTACTTCAAAAAATGGGGGGCCAAACGGGGGCGACTAAGTGCCATGGATTAATCAAGAGTGGTTAATAATAAATATTCGAAAGCCAAGTTATCATATACTATTTTGCAGGCACATGCAGCATCAGTCATTCTTAGTTTCAGTGAAAATTACACCATTGAAACTTTAACACTTTACTTAGATGGAATAGTACGCAAATTGCTTCTACTTCTAAGGTACAACAAAAGAAGAAAATAAAATATTTTTGAATAAATGTACACGGAAGTTTATAACTATGTGTTAAAACACACAACCACGTTTCTCCAATAATCTACTTTTGTTATATAAATTTCAGAATTCCAAACAAATTATGCAATATGGTGCCCTAATTGCTTTACCAATTCACATCAATTACATCATTTTGTAATTATTAAGTGTAATTTTATTTTATTTTTTTACTTGTATACCAAGTCTGCTAAATTGTATTTATAGAAGCACTTCTAAAAATACTACGATGCAATTACGTTGTACTTAAAAGCTATGATGATTAATACAATTGACAAGTTTAATTGTACGCTTTGTGTCAAAGTCATGGAATGCATTAGGACAATTGGAAAGAATTACTTCAAAGAGGATGCCAAGCAGTTAAATATCAACAAACTTAGTGTTGATCATATTTCTTATTGAATATAATACATTATTTTTTATTACGTAGTAATCAAATTTTTCTTCATTGTTTTCTTTTAGTTTTTATCTTAATCATTTATTCTTTATAAACAATACATGTTCCTTTTTTTTTTTAAAAGCTTATAAATATCTTTCAATTTTAAAAATAAAATTCTCGAGAAGTTTCGTAAACTCATTTTTAACCCCTGTTATTAGAGATTAAAGTTAAATTTTTAGTAGATTTTGAAAAAAGTTGGTGAAATGTGTAGTTGAAAAGTTGTGGGATCTATAGAATATGTGGTTAAAATTAATTTTTGATTTTGAGTTAATTAAAGTCTAGATTTTAATAAAGTGGAAATTACATAATACCAAAAGTTTAAAGATTACAATTCCAAAATCAGGAATAACGTTTCATTATTTACAAATCAAATTTTAATATAAATATTAAATATTAAATATCTCGACCCAATTCAATTTTAAACCCTAATCTTTTTTCTTATCTTTTTTCTCTCGACCCGCTTCATTTTCGATATTCTCTCCCATCTCTCTATCACAAATCACCATCGAAGATTTCGTAGACAGTGCTGATGACACTTTGAAGCAACTAGCATCCCGCCATTGCTTTTGTGCTTTTGATGCTCAGTTCGTAGCTGCGCGCGCTCAGCGCCGATCTCAGCATTTGACGCTTTGAGTGTTGTAGTAGCTATTAGAGCAGTAGTTTTTATGGTGCTGGCGGTGAGGTGGTGGTTTGACTGTAGATGTGACGATGGCGATGGTGGTTGTATAGTGGTTGGTTTCTATGGGTGGTAGTTTTGGAAGAAATGGTGGATTTTAGCAGGCGGTTGTTATGGTTGTTCGGTGGTTGATTGGAGTTGTAAGTCGAGGTGGTGGGTGGTTTTGGAGTAGGCAATTTTGGAGGTGGCAGCGACGATGTGTGTTGGTGGTTCTCATGGTGCTAGCATTGATGGTGGTAGAGGTTGCAGTGGTGGTTTTCTGATTTGCAGTATTTTGGATTTGGTATTTTTGGTACAACAGTGATGTTTGGATTTGGTGGTACGGGACGAGTTGTTTGATTTGTGACCAAGTATTGATGTAGGGGTGTTTGTGACCAAGTTTTTGGTTAATTTTTGATCAACTATTTAATCGTGACTTAAAAATTCGATAATTTATGATCGATAAATATTATATTGACCAACTAATTTTAAAATTTTTGACCAATGAATAAACTTTAACCTATAAATTTTTTTGATTTGTGACAAATAAATTATGACCTATAAATTTTTTAATGTGTGATCGTGAAATAGTCTGTAACTATTTAATTTGATAATATGTGATCAATAAACAAGTTTGTGATCTATAAGAACGTACATATAACTATTAATTATATAATTGTGATTTTAATATATTTAATTATTGAAATATTTTTGATTAATTAATTAATATTTGATTTTTGAATTTTGAAACTTAAAACTTGACAAATTAAATTTTCCATACTTTTTGGGATCCATTATTTCGAATTGTAACGAAAAGAATAGTAATTTTTTTAAAAATGTGCGATTAAAAATAAAGAATTTTTTTCAGATTTATGTATAATATTATTTTATTAAAAAATATGTGATTGATAAAATGATAGATAAAAACAAATTTTAATTTATTGGGGGATGTAATACACGACTTTTGAAATTTTTCCCTTCGATAAATACCACTTAATATTAATCAACCAACGTCCGACCACGTTCACCTCACTAATATATGAAAGGTTCCTCTGTTCGGTAAATTCTTGACTTTGGTCTCCGTCTTCGTTTCTCCCGTTTCTCAAGAAAATCCGAATATCTTTCCCAATGAGAGATTTTTGTGCGCGCGCGAGAGAGATCGTTGTGTGATCTTTTCCCTTGATCAAACAGAAGCTTTAATTTTCTGAATTGATTGTTTTTATTCTTTTAGAAAGGGAGAAAATTGAACATATTTGAAGATAATGGCGAGGAGTAGCAGATCATCGTCGAGCAGGTGTAGATATTTAAATCCAGCGTATTATTTGAAAAGACCGAAGCGATTAGCGTTGGTATTTATAGTTTTCGTCTTCGGCACCTTAGTTGTTTGGGATCGCCAGACTCTAGTACGCGAGCACGAGGTAAGATTACGTTAACATTTTGGTTTTAATTTGATTGTCGTTTTATCAATTGAAATCGAAAAGGATTTGAATTTCGCTTTTATGCTTTGGCGTTGGAAACAAAGTACATGAGGGAACAGTAATTGTGGTTTTTGTGTCACATAATTTGGATTATGTATCGGAGATTGATTGCGTGTAATTTGCATAAGCTTTATGCAAGTCATTTCTAAATCACCTAATGAAGGTGACGTACATGTGTTTTGCATCCTTTATATGGGAAAAAATTAACACTTGCTTTGATTTATCAATGTGCATTACCGTATGTGTTTCATTCCATAAGGGAAGGGAAGGATTACTATCTAACATGCCGGATCTGTTAAAGAAATGGTGACAGTCAGGTCATTTTGTGGGAGTTGGGGTAACGGTTAAGATTATAACTCACTATTATTCACTCGTCTACTCTTCAAAAGAGAGCAAATGGTTGCAGTTGTTCTCTTACCACATCCCAATATAAACACGTGGAGAGATATATTTTCAAGTTTAAAATGAGGATTTTTTATTGATATTTTAATTTAGGTACATAGATTCATTTCATCTATCTTTACTGGTGACAAGATTTTCTACTTGCTTTTCAGGAAGAAATATCTAAGTTGAACGAAGAAGTTTCTCGGCTGCAAAATATGGTGAGACATTTAAATTACTCGTTTGATGTTCTTTTCAAGCTGTTTGATGTTAGATATCTGAAAAAGCAGCTGTCTCAAGACTTATGAGAGTTTCAGAAGTTTAGAACTTGGTTTTACTGTAGCCTGTAGGTGTAGACCTTTTGATTAGTCTGAAAGGACTGAATTCCAAAGTAGCCAAATCAATCCTAAAGCCTAGTATTAGACTTCTAATCTTCTTTTGGAATGCCTAAATTGAAGCATGTTTTGAAAACAGATTTTAGGGCCTATTTGCTGTCTCATTTGGTTAGAAATTCAGTTGGAGCTGTGGAAAAATTGGTCCATAAGTTCGGAACTCAAGTTTGGTCTTGTTAAATTAATCATGGGGGTTTCTTATTGGCTATGGATGTCTAGAATCAGATTATGGACATTTATGACTTGAACTCGGAAAATTTATGAAGTCCTTTAATCTGAAACTTGTCAGTTGCACAAATTAGTAGCTCTTATAACTTAGTTCTTGGAATCATCGAAGTTTTGGGATTGCAGGGATCAAAACTGAACACACACTTCCTCTTTCATTTCATTATCTATTATCAGATAAGCATGAAATATTAATTTGATTGGCGCCTGCAGCTTGGAGAGTTTAAGGATGATAAAAGTGTTATAGGGAAGGCGGACACTAGTAGCAAAACCAACAATGCAAATAGGAAATCAAATGTTTCTGATGACCCTATTGAAATTCAGCGAAGAGAGAAAGTTAAAGATGCTATGATTCATGCATGGAGTTCATATGAGAAATATGCTTGGGGTCACGACGAACTGCAGGTATGATTTATATTTCTATTTGCAGTTTCATTGAATGTATAATTTTGCTAATTTCCATTACCCTGTTTGCTCTTCAATTGTGTTGGGGTGCTTCTATGTTTGAATTGAATTGGACCAATTCATTGAATCATTACTCTTTTTATTATTTAGTATGTGATTTACATCAGAGTTCTAACTTCTAGATCACTACCTTCTGGACCATTGTCTAGTTTGATTTTATCACAAGAGGGTACTAGTAGGGGCAGGGAGATGCAAAATTTTGTGCTCTCTCTCTCTCTCTCTCTCTCTCTCTCTCTCTATATATATATATATATATATATATAATCTGGTATTGTTCTTATAATGCTGTAGTTGTCATACATTGAATTTCAATCTTATTTTTGCTAGAGTATGATTTGCTTGACTGTTAGGACTATTCTCTTCTCTATGTGGACTTTCAAAAAGATGTCATTTATATGGCACCGGTGCATTTATTTTGGTCTATTATTGTTCTTAACAGTAGTTTAATTGCTTATGATCTCTTGGTTGTACTTTATTTGATTTACATGGTGTTAATTTAATAGGTCGGACTGTCTGTTACCTTCTCTTTCGATCATATCCTTTATTTCTTTTCAAGCTTTTTTACACAGATGTAAGCCTTTTTATATTCTTAAGCCAATTATGACTTAGCCTCTGTTTGATAGCCTTTATTTTGGTAATTTAAAGAGTTTTCACTTTCTTAAAAAGTGCAATATTCATAAAAAAAATTGCACCACCACCTGACAGACAATAACTCTATTCAATGCATTGACAACTGGTCAAGAAATTGAATTTTTTAATTTTGTCCTGTATGACACAATCACATTTTTCTACTTTGCCCTTTTTGGAGCCCTTCACTATCAGCAGGCAAACATGAAATTGGAGGGTAGTTTTTGAATACCAAAAATTTTGGATTCAAAATTAAGTAGAGTAGTATCTCATGATTTGGAATTGATATGACATGTGTTTGACTATAACAACCTAGCCCTAGGTATGCGACAGAAATTCGTGAGGGATAAGATGTGCTTAGGCTCTCCCAGAGTAGATAGTACGTAAGTTGACTACTTGTGCTCAGAAACTTGGTTTATTTTTGGTGCCATGATTCAACTTAAGTCTCTCTTAAAGGAAGATCATGTGGTCGAATCCCGTGGACACGATAGAATTTCGTGAGGGGGTAATTGGACCGATGCTCATTCAGAGCAGAAGGTGCATAAGTTAACGGCTTGGGTATAGAAGCCTCGTGTCTAGCCATTCTCTTACGTACCACAATTCAAGTTAAGTCTCTCTTCTAGGAGGTCATATGTTCGAATTATGAGGAACATGAGTCTTGAGGGTTAAGGTAAGAGAACAGATCCCCTCCCAAATTGGACAGTACGCAAGTTAACGACATGGGCATAGAGGTAGGGTTGTTACATTGACAACCTAGCCGATGTTTACAGTACAACAAATTGGTTTTTGGCAAAATAAAGGCTGTCAAACACATGCCTAGAGTAGAAATATATAGATTAAATTATTAATGTTTGATGTTAGCAATATTTCTTGATGGGCACTAATTCGAAAGGTTAATAGTGAGTTTATAGCTTCTCTTTTCTTTTTTGGTTATGCGTATTTCATACCAGTTCCTCTGTCTTTCAATTTCTAACATTTGATTTTGGTAGTGTAACCTTCATAGGTTTGATTTTGAATGGGTGCATTATGATATGTCTTTACTATGATATGTATCTTTCATTTTTTTTAATTGTTTTATTGGGAGACAAGCCAGGAAAAGCAGAAGATACACTAGGACTTCTACTTGCACGATATTTGACTGGTTTTTCCATATTTTTGGTCACCAGCCACAAACAAAGAATGGTGTTGACAGCTTCGGTGGTCTTGGAGCAACTTTAATTGATTCTCTTGGCACGCTGTATATAATGGGACTGGATGAGCAGTTCCAAAGGGCCCGAGAGTAAGTCTATAGTTCTTTTTGTTTGTTACTATGCAGAAACGTGCTTTCTACTTGTCTTTTTTCTTTTTATTTTTGAGTTTATCTTCCACATTGGAATCAATTCTACAACATTATCGTTTCTTAAGATAATGCAAATGACTTGGTTTGGGAATTTTGAATTAGTGTTGGCATAATATGGAACATAGTCATGATGCTTTCAGTTCCTCTCTTGTTGGCTGGCTTCTCCATTTATATGTAAAGTCTTAATTCATGGAGAATCACTATAATAGCCTTAAAAGTAGCATTTGGCACGACATTGCAAAAGATAACTTAATAAGTAAACGTACTATTATATAGATTAGTACAATACATTTTTGTTTTTCTTTATGTGCTCTGTAATACCTCTTGCCTTTAAGGTTGATACTTAATTCTGTTTCTCCTTAAAAGTTTTCAGGAGCAAAAGTTGATTTATCATTTCAAAGACAAAATAATACAAGAATAAAAATGTAGTTAAGAGGGAAATTATTGAGATAATATTGCTTAGTTATGTCGTTGTTTTCCTCCTTCCTATTAAAGTTCACTTCACTATTACAGGCTAAGTAGCTATGATGTACTAACACGAACACGTATGTTCGACATGACACGTTTCTAAACACGTCGATATGTAATTTTTCGAAAAAGTACTGATACAACACGTCGTCGACACATTGATTAAATTCTTTATTTATATGATACAAATTTAGTTTTATAGTTATTAATTTTCTTGTTGAAATCTTCTTAAATATGAGTATCTATTCGTTACTTAATAATAACTTTGAGTTGAAAATATATAATATTTTTTGAAAACAAAGAAAAAAAATGATCATGATAAAGTTTTCGAGAAGTATCGGTATTTGAAAACATTATCCTAGTTGAAGTGTTCGTACAACAGAGTTGAGTAGTTGTAGAACTTTATTTTTGATGGATAAGAACCATATAATTCCTGTTTCCATTTTTTTCTGTTAACAAGAATTCATTTCAGGTGGGTTGCAAACTCATTGGATTTCAACAAGAACTATGACGCCGGTGTTTTCGAGACAACCATAAGGTGGCTTTACAAGGTTTAATGTACCATTTTTTTGCTTAGTTGATTTTTTCTCCTGGTTTACAAATGTATATTTGCTAATACTTTCGGGCAGCCTTAACCAAGAGTTGTGTGCTCATGAAGAGTATTTCAGTGCTCAAAGGTTTATCTTGTCTTTTTTTTTTTTTTAATCCTTTTTCTTATGCTAATAGTTTTATTTGTAATAATTCAGAGTTGTAGGTGGGCTTATCAGTTCATATGATCTCTCTGGAGATAAAATATTCCTTGAAAAGGCTAAAGACATTGCCGATAGACTGCTGCCTGCATGGAATACTCCTTCAGGCATCCCATATAATATTATTAACTTGGCTCATGGGAATCCACATAATCCTGGGTGGACAAGGGTAAGTCGAGATTATGAAAACTACCTCGTTTTCACAAGACGTAAACATCCTGGTTTAATAATGCTAAGTTTTTATATTATTTCTAGTATTTGAATGCCTGCTTAAGTGTCCTGTTTAATCAGTTGACATAACCTCATTGTTTTGGGAAAGACATGTTACCTTATTCCTGTGTTTGATGTGTGTGTATTATTTTGTACTTTCTGTTTTCTTAGGTGCTACTTGGTCGGTGATAATTTGATACTGAAACCCTACATCATGGTTCTGCTATGTTTTGTTTGTTTTCCTTATTAACTTCTTGTTTCTGCTTATTGTTATGTTCTATATCATTGTTCGGTTCAGTCCCGTTGATGTTTTTTGACCTTTTTTCACCCACATAAGTTTAATGTAGACAACTATATATATCAATTCAAACTAGCATCTGTGGTAGTCTGTTCATCTGCATACACTCGTAGTTTTTTCTCTACGTCACTTAATGTTTCTGAAAGAGAGATTTTCTTATGATTTCCCTGTTTAGGGTGATAGTATCTTGGCAGATTCTGGCACAGAGCAGCTAGAATTTATTGCTCTTTCCCAGAGGACAGGCGACCCAAAATATCAGCAGAAGGTATTCCTGATCAAAGTTTACTCTGGCATTCAAGACAGAATTGTTCCTTAAAAAAGAAATGAAAGTAATATTAAAGTTGTCGTTGATGTTTACATGTATTTTTTACACATGATTTGAGTTTCATAGCTAAAATATCTGGATCTGTATGATATAGAATCAGTTATTGATTTTTGTTTCCCCATGAATTAGGTATTTATCTTTCACCAACAACTGAGTGCTAGTTAAATGTTTCAGGTGGAGAATGTCATTCTAGAGCTCAATAAAACATTTCCTCCTGATGGTTTGCTTCCTATCTATATTAATCCACACAGCGGGACCAGATCATACTCAACCATAACTTTTGGAGCTATGGGAGACAGGTATTAATTATTCTACTTCTGGAAAGGTTTAGGCGAACATGCTAAAATATGCATCTTTTGAAGTATATATAATAATAATATCTACCCACAGGGTTGGTAGTCATTAACCACCCCCCTTTCTCTACCATGTAACAAAAGGATAAAATATATTGCAGCTTTTATGAATATTTACTCAAGGTCTGGATACAAGGAAATAAAACAGCCATGGTGAAGCATTATAGGTGAGCAGCTATTACTGTTACTATCCTTATGAATCACAAAAACACATGCCATAGATTTATACACGACGGAGGAAGGTTGGTTGACTTCTTGTATTTTCTAAAGCCTGATTCCGTAATTCAATTGTTCTAGTATTACTCATTCATTTCCTGTAATTTTCTAATAAACGACTGTATCTAACAGAGAAATGTGGGAGATTTCAATGAAAGGTCTTCTAAGCTTGGTTCGGAGAACAACCCCCTCTAATTTTGCATATCTTTGTGAGAAGATTGGAAATTCATTGACAGACAAGGTGATATTTTGTGCTAGTCAGTAATATTACTGCTGAAATAAAAATTTCGTAAAAGTAGCATTGAAAAATTTGTATCCATTTTTCCATGATGGAAAAGTATCAAATGGTTTGTGTGTTTTCTTTGTTATATTTGCAGATGGATGAACTTGCATGTTTTGCTCCAGGGATGTTAGCGTTAGGATCTACTGGCTATGGTCCCGATGAGGCTAGGAAGTTCTTATTATTGGCGGAAGAGGTATATACAAATATTTTGAGTTTCCCATTTAAAGTGCTTTACATTGTGGGTAGCTAATCACTTTGGGGGGGGATGTCTGTGACCTCCTTGTGAAGCTTGCTTGGACATGTTATAATTTCTACCAATCAACACCAACAAAATTGGCTGGAGAGAACTACTTTTTCAATTCGGGACAGGTAGTCTTTTTGTGTATTTTGTTTCTGATATTTATAAAGACTAGGTCCTAACTCCTAAGGATCTTGCCTTTTTATTCATTTCTATGATTGTTCAATTTCAGGATTTAAGTGTGGGAACATCATGGAACATATTGAGGCCTGAGACAGTTGAATCACTCTTTTACCTCTGGCGTTTGACTGGTAATAAAACTTATCAGGAGTGGGGATGGAACATCTTTCAAGCATTTGAAAAGAACTCCCGCATAGAGACGGGATATGTTGGATTAAAGGATGTAAGCACATCTTAACTTGTGTTCTTGTACAGTTTTGAAGGGGTGGCAGGTGGTGTTGGTGGGTTGGTATGGGTGGGGTGTGGCTGTTGAGGACGATGAAACCATTTCTTCATTGCTCGTATTTTTGTTGTTCACAGGTTAATACTGGCGTCAAAGACAACATGATGCAAAGTTTTTTCCTCGCAGAGACACTTAAATATCTCTATCTTCTTTTCTCACCTCCTTCAGTCATTTCATTGGATGAGTGGGTTTTTAACACAGAAGCACACCCTATAAAAATAGTCACCCGGCACAACCAGTTAGAGAAGTCGGGAGTCTCAGGAGGACAACAAAATTCAGAGACCCTATCGAGAGCTAGGAAAGAAGGCCGCTTTAGTGGCAATTAGGAAATTTTGTTATATTCCATCGATTCCGTTTCTGAATTCCAGTCTCCATTGACATGAAGAACTGAAGATCTTGAAGACGAAGGCCTTGAGTCTTGCAAATCAGGTATATGACTTAAGAAAAAGTTTACATTTACATCTTTTATTATTGGGATAATTTACCTTATGAATGTATTATTAAGCTCACCATCTTCCAAATATCATCTACTTGTAACATAAATTACTAGATTTACCGATTAAAATAATAGCTACTTGTATTTTTATTGGAAATGTCTTTTCCCTTTTTCCTCCTTGGTGAGGAATCTAGTTTTGGTATGGGGGAGCCCCGAGAGTGAGGAATTGCAAGGACCATGTTGAAGGAGATTCAAATGTACTATTTTCTTTTCCTTCTTAACTCAAGTCATTGTTCGTGATGGTGTTGAATTCATGTATTTATTGTAGCGTGAAATCCCTTGGAAGTAGTTGAACATCGAAATAGAAAGAGAATACTATTCGAGTTCATATATGCATGTGGTTCTTTGATTTATTGCCTTTTAGGTTCGTTTCACCCCTATTACGGAGGATATTGTCTAAATTTTTCAAACTTGTCACAATTAGTCTTGATGGTGGATCTGATATCTAGCTTGTATCCATCATTGTGCACGTTCTTGAATCTGTGTAAGTTGCATGGCGCATGTCATGCTTGTATCAGATTGGGTTATGATACATTAGTTACACTATTACATAGAATTTTTTTCCGTCATAAGAATTTTTTAAAATTCTATAAATTTGTCCAAAAAATAATAACAAGTAATAGAATTAATATATAAATTTCTAATTTGTTGGTATGTTTTTGTGCTCATTTCATTCTTATTTTTCTTGGAAGTGGAAAAAAAGGGCCAAATATATTGCAAGAATCCTAATATTAGTTGAATTTGACAACGTGACAAGAAATTGTTTATCTTCATTTTTTCCCCCCAAAAAATAAAGACACCAAATTAAGTAGAAGGCTTCTACGCTTGTGTTGGGCATCATCTTCTAGCCTCCGATTAACAATCAAAATCAAATGAAGACCAAGGAAGGGATATTTGACTTCAAGCCACACCAAGAAGTTTAGAACAATAGTTCATAATGATCGTCATTATATAATCATTCCTCAATAGACGTCGCTTTTTAGATTGAGATATCTAAAGTTATTCATCAAGTGGAAGCAGACAAACGTTAGAAAAATCAGAGAAAATTCTCAAAAAATTGAAGGCTTGATTTCAAATATTACGTCAGTATCTCTAATTTAAGAAGTATTCCTTCTAGATCATGATAAAGAGTATCTTCTCTTTATTTGTGGAATCGAATAATCGATCAACAAGATCACGATGAAAAATATAAGTACAAATAATGGAACAACAGGAAAAGCTGTATGAGATTTGAAACATTTCATTTTAGAAACGTTTTCAATGATTGATTTAATTTTTTAACTAGTAAACATATTAGTACTCATTTATTTGAATCTTAACTAATAAAATATTTATTTATTTTAATTAATTTCTTATAAGTCGTGAAATATTAAAGCATAGCTAAACAGGCACTTAAAAACCGGCCTTCGGTCAGTGACATTTGGGGTTTAAATGAAATTTTCTCTCCAACAAACCCCTGCAGCACTGGCAAGTGCGCCACCACCACCGCCGCCGTCGTCTGGAATATCATCTCATACCATTCACTGGATATCATTATCCCAACAGTGAAAACCTAAACCCATTTTTCAAAGAAAAAGATGCGCAGTACGTAGCATTATGTGTGTCGTTATTTGCTAATAGTAAAAGTAATGCGGAACTACTTTTCTCTCTCTCGCTTTTGCCATCATTGGTATGATCGGAAGCGCCAACGTTACTCCGCCTTTTGCTCCCAAATTCATTCTCCGTTTTCTTCGCCGGAACAGGAACCGGAACCGGAACCCGAACCCGAACCCGAGCCGGAGAAATTCAATTCTTCAAAATGGAATGAATTCAATTTTTGTTCTAATAAATATCAATATAATCTCTGTCCTCATCGATTTAGTCAAGCTCAGGGATTTATCTCATCTCCTGTTTTAATTCGGAACTTTGCTGCGGCTAATTCTTTGTGTAGAGTTATTCCAGTTTCTAATTTCTTTGCACTCAATTCTAGTTCCCACCAGTTCTCCCTTGCTCGAGGTGAGTATTTTTTTGTGCTTTTTAATTTGGAATTGGTAGTTGTATATTCCAATTTTGGGCTGTGCGTGCAGGATTTTTCACTAGAGCTAAAAAAATTAAGAAGATTGAAGTGGTCGATCATGGGTAATTTATATTTTCTTTTCGCATTTGTTTGCCTCTGTGATATGTTCTGATATATTATTACTAGCTTTGCTTCTTGTGAAATGAATTATATTCCATTCTTGAATTTTCATGATACACCATTCAAAAAGGACAGTTTTATGCTGCTTATTAAGTGACTGCGTGTTTAAGATTAAATAGGCTCCTAAAAGGAAAAAAATATTTTAATAATGACGCGTAGCAAATTGCCTCTCTTGAGCATTCTTATTTAGCTCCTTGATTACCATGTGGCATTGGACAAACTGGCTCGCTGTATTTATTGGTTTTTTTTTTTTTTTTTTTTTTTTTTTTTTTTTTTTTTTTTTTTTTTTTATCTATTTTTGGGTTTAATCAATTATGAAAAGTTAAAGACTGCCTACTGAGTTGCTTGTTTCTCTTGCCCTATATAATGGTGTTAGATAAACATTTCAGATGGTGCACCTTTTCTTTTAACTGATCAATTATTTGGCATGATTTCATTGCCTCTGAATTTTTTTATATTTAGCCAACGAGCAGTTACAACAGCATTGTGTTGCAATTTTCTTGTGTTTTCTCTCAAGTTTGGGGTCTGGTTATCCACCTCGAGCCATGTCATGTTGGCTGAAGTTGTGCATTCAGTTGCAGATTTTGCAAATCAGGTAATGCTCTTCTTCTTTTTCATGTTTGTGATCCTGCTGGAATGAGCATTCGTACTGCCAGGGTTTAACTTTATTTGTCAAAAACCAAGTAGAGGGAATCTAAAACATGCTTACCTTGTAGGCACTTCTTGCATATGGTTTAAGTAGTTCACGCCGTGCCCCAGATGCTCTCCACCCGTAAGTTTTTGTATTTATTTATCGTAACTGCATTTATATGCAATAAAAACTATTATGTTCTTTGACTTTTGCATATAGAGCAATTATATTCTTCTGAGACTTTACAGTATACGACAATTAATTGAACTTTGGATAAGTGATTGCAGTTAAGATCCGAGTGTTATTTTATTTTGGCAGGATCACTCCAATTATGTTATTGGAAGTTATATTTCATCTTTTGGTTCTCAGTTTCACCCAGGGCTTAAAATTGTGCATGAAAATTATCATTATTCATTGATGACTTCAATATACTTAATTTTCCTTTTAAAATATATCTTTTTTTTTTTTAGAACTTTCAGAACCCTTGTACCATTAAACGGCTATTGTTGCATTCTATTTGATCAATCAGAACATCTGTTTATGCGGACACATGAACTTTGATATAAGCCTGCCGAATCTTGTGTGTCATTTGATCACAGATATGGTTATTCTAAGGAAAGATTTGTCTGGTCTTTGATATCTGCTGTTGGTATATTTTGTCTTGGATCTGGGGCTACAATTGTTCATGGAGTTCAAAACTTGTGGACTTCTCAGGTGCACACTCTTAAAATTCAACTTGAAACTGTTTTATATTTTATTCCTTGAAACAGTGGTTTCTTACGACGTGATTCCTTTCAGCCTCCTGAGCATATTGAGTATGCAGCTCTGGTGATTGGTGGCTCTTTCATTATGGAAGGTGGAATTTCTAATTGATAATTCTGGCTTCGAAATTCACCCAAAAATGGATATAAGTTTTTTATCTCGTGAGTGGTTTTTTTTTTTTTTTTTTTTTTAATTCGCTATAACCTGTTTTAGGTGCTTCTCTTCTTGTTGCCATCCATGCTGTCAGAAAAGGTGCTGCTGCGGAAGGAATGAATGTGAGAGACTATGTCTGGCGTGGTCACGATCCTACATCTGTTGCAGTTATGACAGAGGTGTTATGTTGTTTATTTGACCATTTATATATTTCAAAATATATTAATTGTCTGTATAATTAGAGATACATGAGCTGATTTTTTATTTCAATTTGTCTGTTTAACTTGATTGTTAGGACATAGTAATTCATACTAGCATTTTGAGTCAATGTAAGGTAACAATGTGAGTGAGGGCATAATAGTAGTTCACTTGCACAGCGATCAGGAATAGGAATTTAATTTTTTGCTTTAGTTCTTGAAACACTAATTGCTTTTGAGAGATAAGATTAACTGTAAACAATAGGAATATAAGGCAGAATGAAAGTGAATAAATCACCTTCCATTTCATTATAACCCTACAGCTTTCTTATTTGATTCTTATGGTACTATAACTTCCACTTCCTGTTTCCTTAATACAAAATGAAGGTACAAGGTCAGCAATAATTCTTTAAGCATTTCTAATATCACATGCTGTAACATTTTCCCATAATAAATTGAAGAACCGATATCTATTGTAAAGCTTTGGCAAACATGTGTGCTAATCTATATTGAGGATGAAAAAAGCTAATGTGTGCTTAAAGTTTACTTACAAATATTATGAACTCTAAACGTTTAATATTAAAAGAATTATGCTGATCATGAGGCTTTCTGACAGATCATTGAGAAATAATCATTATCGATGATAGGTATAAATTGGAAAGGTGAAGATTTCTCTGAGCACTTACTTTAAAGGGAATTTTTGTTCATTTAAAAGATTCTAAGTTCCCCCAGGTTTTTAGAGATTTATAATAATTTCACATCATACTCAAGTTTACTGCACAATAATTTAACTAGTGAGATACAATCTCCATAGAAAGTCTTGTCTTTTCAAGCTATAGGACTGCTTTTGGTTTCCTCATAAGTAATATGTTAAATGAAGTGAACTATGCAGGATGGTGCTGCTGTTACAGGGCTTGCCATTGCTGCTGCTTCATTGGTGGCTGTAAATACCACTGGAAATGCAATTTATGATCCAGTTGGTTCAATTGTAGTGGGCAACCTATTGGGAATGGTATGTTAAAGGGCAACTGAACTTTGTTTCTTCTCACACTTCATATGATTTTGCTGTTCAATTGAGGACTAAACTTTTGGCAACTGCTGGTTTACATTGTTAAAAGAGTTGGCTTTTGAATGATCCAGTCAAGATAATGATTAGTCTAATAAGTTACAGATCATAATTGATGGGAAGCTTTTCATACATGTGATTAGGGTTCTGGTTCAATATTTTGTGCTTGATTTCAAGCTATTGTGCTATTTAGACTAGGTTGCTAATTGGACTGTTTAGAGTCTGACCATCTTATGGTGTCGGTCACCAGGTTATTGTGTTTGCATTCGTGGAATTTTCTTTCATCTTCATAGATATTAGAAATTTCAGAATAGAAATTCATATTCTCTATTCATGCAGCGCATGTTTTAATGTATGGAATCATACTTCGTGAAGATACATAAATTCCCTTGCAAATGGTTTCAATACATGCATAATGGGTGCCCGAAGTCCTCTAATGTTGACATTGGAATGCAATTATGGAGTCAATTGAAGATTGATGAGAAAAGATGGAGCTCCGAGCTTGTAAATATTTGCCATTTTTTTTATTTGGAGTCTGTTTTTCCATTGACTTGTACTATGGAGAAGAGAATGATATAATGACGTCTTGAGTGATTGATGCCTGTTCCATTTTGATAAGATTACTTTGGCAACATGGCACGAATGCCTCTTTCCATACTTCATTCTTTTTTATCCCCACATCAAGAAATAAAGGGGGAAAGGCCTTCACCATGTTGAGTCTAATTGAATGATTAATATGATACAGGTTGCTATATTTCTTATTCAAAGGAATCGCCATGCTTTGATTGGAAGAGCAATTGATGACCATGATATGGAAAAAGTTCTTCACTTTCTGAAAAATGACCCAGTACAGTGCAGTTCTTTGCTCTTTCTGTGCCAATTGGGAGACAGATGACAACAAGAGTCTAACCAAAATGGCTATTTTTGCTGCAGGTCGTTGATGCAGTTTATGATTGCAAAAGTGAGGTGATAGGACCAGGATTTTTTAGATTCAAAGCTGAAATAGGTGAAACCTTGCTTTATATTTGTAAAACTAATGTTGGAATTACTTTTATATTGCAAGGTTGTAAACTGTAAATATTTATGTTTCTTCTTAGTTATCTTTGGTTACCAGGATCCTAATTGAAAAATGGTTTGATATTACTTGCAGATTTCAATGGTGTGGTGCTAGTGCAAAACTATCTAAAACGAACTGGACGTGAAGAGTGGGCTAAACAGGTGATTGTGCTATCAATTAGTTTTTGTATCTCTCTTAATGCAGTGACAGTGTAAAATTGTTGTTTTTCAATTTCTCAGATGTTTCTTTTGCATAGTCTGTCTCTTGTGTTGCTGAAATACATTTTAGAAACCATGATTCTATATGAAACTGCTCTATGCTTCCTTTGTATTTTTATTTATTTAAAGCCACGAAAGGTTCTATTGATTTTCCCTTTTTGTCCTATTTCATGCGCTATTAGGTCAATGAGATTACAATGTTACATCCATTTCTTACCAAGACTTCTTTTTAAGCAAGTAGTCATGATGAGGATATAAATATTACACTTGTATCTTCTGCATAACCAAACGAATTCTAGTTTTTTTACCGTTGATTTTGGTGCAAATTTTTTTCCTGGCTGTGCACGAGACTTGGTGACGTGGCATTTAATTGAGGCTATTTGCCTATTTACATGATCATGATCTATGCAGTTCCGAGAGGCTGCTAAGCAGGAGGACGATTCTTCTTTACTCAAGATCATGTCAAACTATGGTATGTGTACTATGCCCCTCTTTGAGCCCCATTTTTAGGGATAATGTATTTTGAGATAGTGATTTTTTGGAGAATGTGTGGTTAAAATATAGAAAAAATTTGGGTTTACGTGTAAATATTTTATGAGAGAACATGTGATTGAAAATAATAGGGCTCGAACAGGGGCTACAAAAGCAATTCTTCTCTCATTTTTGCAGAATAAGAAGTTAATTTATATCTTCTGCAGGTGAAGAAGTGGTCACAGCTCTGGGGAGTGAAGTTGATCGGCTCGAAAAAGAAATCCAAGAAATAGTTCCCGGCATTAAGCACGTGGATATTGAAGCGCACAATCCAATCAGTCCATCTCCCCCATGATCATAATTATTTTTACATACATGTTGTGCATTTCTCTTAATAAATTGAATTTGTTTATGTCAGACACGAATTAATTCACTCATAATATGTGTAAGGCTTCTTGGTTGACACTTAAAAGGCAGTTAAATAGGTCTGTAAACTATGAATAGTGAGACCTCTCTTGTTAATAAATGAGGTCAGAGTAATATTTTTTTAATGCTGTGATCATTTTTTGTTTTGCCCTCTTGCAAATGATATTGGGGCTAAGAAGAATCAGCCAGAAGAAGCCGTTTCATTACCAAATCATAGGGCTATTCAAGTTGTCTGCAAGAAACATCAAAATTCAACTGCTGAAAATGTATGGCTTGAAACTTTTGCGTTTTCACCATCAAAAAGTACAGATTCCTTCAGAACAAAGGTTAGTTTACAGAATTATGATAAAGAGTCTATAAGTGATGTTCTTGAATCTTTCCTTTGAAAGAAGAATGCTATCTATCAACTGTGGTCTTTAACATCGGCCTAGGTTTCAACACGTAGCATTAAATGATAAATTCAATTCAATGTAAAGATATAGTTTTCATTTAATTGATACCGACACTCAGATTAGTGTTATATAGCATTACTCTCTTTGATACGCTCGAGGGTTCTTCTCGTTTTCGGTTCTCGGTTTTCATTGTGTGTTCTTGGAAGGGTAATTTTGGAACATTAAGCATGTTGGTGACAACAGGTGGAAAAGGATATAGTTCACAACCTGATAAGCCAATCAAGTCGATTTTCTTGTAAGTTGTAACCTATTAATCTTTTAGTCATCTCGGCACGGGGAAATGAGCTATAGTAATCATCTTGGTTGGTTTGTACAGTAACGTTCACGGCAGATCATTTTCAGTTTTCTCATTAGAGAACTATAATAGGCTTGTAAGGGATTTGAGGATCCATTTCTAAGGTCAAAGTTGGAAAATACATGGCCTAATTTTCACCCATCCTTGACAAACATTTACTTAAAGCAAGACGTTTCAAGGCAAGTGAAAGTCTTAGAGCCAGCAAGGAAGGTACCAAGCGAAGGCATAGTTGTTGAGAAAAATCTTTCATTGAAGAAGGGTACTCCCGTCCATCATGGAGGAATAAAATAGTCTGACAAACCCCATCTTGAAATGCTTGTGAGATGTACTTGAGCCGTTGACTCCTAAAACTGGCTCTGGTGATTGCATGTATATAAGAAAAGGGTAAATCTCATAATTCCTAAATCTTATCTATATCGATAAATTGAAATCGGCATCATTGAGCAGAAGATAATGCGAAATAAATGACTCCAGCTGCATTGAAGGTCATCTTGTTGAAAGGCATGATGCTATGTCTCTCTTTCATTGGCTCGTTCCATGCATCTCAGCAAAGTGATGCACTATAATAATTGAGTAAAACGTTTGAATACTCACTGAAATTTGTCAACTGTCATGTTATAGTCACTGAACTATGTTATTACTCCGAATGTTCACTCAACTTACTAGAAATCCATTCCATCCATCATTGTTCCGACAACCATTTCACTCTCGTCCCAGGTGGCAAGACAGTTTTCAACATGGCATAAACGGCTTTATATTGTTGCCACGTGAAAGAGTCGTAGGTATGGAAAGCACATCAAATTTGGTACACCTTTAACTGAAACGAGGCCCTATTCTCCTAAATACAAATCGTGACTTTGTTCTTGTTTTAATCCATTATCAATTCTTTAATGGAATGCCGTAATTTTTTTCAAAATCCATAGAAATACTGGTGTTGAAATTTTATGAAACTTTAAACTTTAGAACTTAAAAAACTAAATTCCTTTATCGCCAAGATCCTCCATGTCAAATAATCAGGAAAATTAATGATGCGGAACATACCTTAATTCATTGGAAATGATTCTTTATTATTGGATCTTGATTCCAGATCTTGAATATTGAAAATCAACTTAAAATCCCTTCTTGATTGGTTTCTTGCTTTCAATTTTGAATTTTGCGTCCTTAGATTCTTTGATTCTTGTTTTTGGTTCTTTATTGTAGGTATTGGATCTTCTTCTTCAATATGTGTTGTTGATAGGATAACACAAAGAATGAGAAGTTGCATATGAATTAGGGACCATAACTATATATATAGTTTCCATAAGTATTTCGGCCATCATGAAATATAATTCTAAAGGAACCTGATCTCTACACATATAATTCGGCTCACACTTTATTTAGATGCCTTAAGCTCAACTACTTAATTCTTTATTAGATCACTTTAATTTTGGGCCTAACTTTAAAGTAGTCTATATACAAAATTAATTACATATGTTGGCATACAGAGCGAATTAATAATTTCTCAACAATCTTTCTCTTGGGCCACATATGTTATCTTATAAATGTGTATAACCTTATGAACTCAATACTTTTGCTACCATAACCAAGAGGGCATCTTCGAACAATCTCATCTATTAATTATGCAAATAATAAATTCAAAGCAGTCTTCATTACAATTACCATAACTAAACCTTTAATAGTCATGTATATCAACACAATCAAATGACATAGATCAAATGTGAATGTATAGCATGAAAATTGCATGCAATGTGATTTGAACATGTCTATTTCCAATTGGTCCAACCTTATGAGATCAAAATAAAACTTCAATCAGAGTGGAACTAAACTTAAAACTTTATTTCTAAAATAAATAGAATATCCATGTATAGAATCACATGTCTAAAATAGACAACATCCGAATACGAACTTTGACATATTATCAAAAGATACAACATTCAAGCGAGCATCATGCTCACGTAAGACCTTGGGTGGCGGTCATTAGTAAATGGATCCATGATTGTGGAGTTTGTTTTAATAAGCTTTATAGAACCTGACCACTTTGAATTCTTTCCTTGACAGTTAGGAACTTAATGTCTATAAATTTTGACATCGTTAAACTCTTATTGGAATACAAGATTGCTATAGTCACAGAATAACTTAAATAGTCTTTCAATTCCATCCAAAATGTCAGCCCAGTAACAAAATCCCATAGTCATATTCCATGATAAAAAATCAAAATGTCCAATAATCTCCAATTGGTCTGATTTTCCTGAATGTGATCATATAATCCTTAGTTCTCTATCAATACCGAATAACCTAATCAGCCCAATGACAAAATTCCGTAGTTATATTCCATGATCAAAAATCAAAATATCCAGTAATCTCCAATTGGTCTGATTTTTTTGAATGTGATCAAATAATCCTTAGTTCTTTATAAATACCGAATAATCTAATTGGCTGCTTTCCAAATATCCATTCTAGAGTTGCTTAAATATTTGTCTGCATTCTAACAATGAATGTTATATCCAAAGCATGCAAACCTAAGCATCCATTAAATTTCCAATTGTTGAAGTAAAGCTTTTCTTTAAGTTTATTCTTAGGGTATTGATTGAGACAGATCCCTTACCAATGGGGGGTGTCTCCTGGAATATATACCTGCATCCTAAATCCTTTAGAAATTTTATCGATATTACTCTTTTGTATAATCTAAATACCACGACGACAATCACAGCGTATTTGTATTCCTGACATAAAAGAGGTATCACCAAGATCATTCATCTTAAAATTCCATGACAGAAATCTCTTGGTTTCATCCAATAATTTTTTATCATTCCAAGCAATTAGCATGTCATTAAAATCCAATACCAGAAAATATATTTATTCCCACTGAACTTGTGGTATACACTATCATCAATTGTATTTATTTCAAAACCAAATGAGAAAATTATTTGATGAAATTTGTGATGTCATTGATGGAAAACCTCTTTAAGCTTATAGATGGAATTCTTTAATTTGTAAACCATCTAAAGTAGTTTAATATCAAAATATGTTATAATTGTTATAATAGCCCTAAAAGAGTCTTTTATAGAAATCGGAGAGAGAGTCTCTTTAATTCAATGTCTTCCTTTTGAGTAAAGTTATTTGCAACAAGATGAGTATTGTATCTCTCTACACCACCCTTCAAATCCCTCTTGATATTAAATATCCATTTACAAGCAATGAGTTTCGCGCCTTCTGACAATGAGATGAGTTCTCAAACGTCATTGTTACTCATGAACTTTATCCCTTGGTTCATGGCATCAATCTATTCTTAAAAATTATTCCTTTGCATTGTATGATGAAAGTTGATTGATCAAATTTTCTTCCACCAATACTATATCATCCTTATTTTCTAGGAGAAAGACTGTAAAATTATTCGAATTGCCTTTCTCTTTTTTTTTTAGTGAATTTCCTTAATGACATTTGTTCTTGAAATTGTTGAGTTTGTTCTTTTGAAATAATCTTTTGATTGTGTATGAGAGATTTTATAATATTGTCTTAATTCGAAATTGCTTCTTGAACAAGATCTAGAGCAAGAATTACCCACACCGACACTGCATCTTTCTCTCTCTCTATATGTCTCATTTTTCCCTCCCTCCCTCTTTCTCTACATGTCTCGTTCTCCCCCTCTCTCTCTCACTATATACATTTTGTATATCTATCACCACTCCACTCCAGCAACCGCCCAACTCAATGGCGATGTGAGAGCCGCTACGACGACACGCAATGAGTTGTAAGGCTTCGATGCTCCTCTGATGTTGGACCCATTTGATGCACCTCTGGCATGACACTATTGTCGACCGTGTCCACCGCGCGATGCAGAGCAACGTCCAAGGGCTCAGTGGTCCTCGCTATACCCACTCAGCCATCTCATTCCCAACCGTCACACTTATTCAACGTCCATGGGCTTAGTGGATCTGAAATTTCCTCCGATCCGCCGCTGTGGAGGTTTTTGCGACGTTGCAATCCCCAGCAAAAATTTTTTTGGTGATTTTGTGGTTTTTGTGGTCATTTTGCTGCATTTTTTTGTTATGGTTTTTGAGGTACTGGCCGTGGTAGTGTGCTGTGGTGGCAGCAACGGGTTTATGGATTTTTTTGGTGGTATCGTGTCGGTGGTGGTGTCGTATAGCTGGAGATAGAGAAAATGGTGGTGGTGTGCTGTGAGTGCTTTGTGCAGTGGTGTTGTGGCGATTTTTCGGGTGTTGTGGTGGTGGTAATTGTGGGAGACAATGGTATAGATGCAGTGATGCTTATGGTAGTGTTGGGGGTGCAATGATTTTTTGATCTGTTGTTCTTTGGTGGTGATGGTGGGTTGTGACTTGATATTGATCTGTTCACAGACAGTCACTTTGAATATAATTTTGATCACAGTTAGTCATGC